AATATAGCTTATAAGTTTATTATATACTTCTTTTTAAGTATTATTAAGTTAGTCTTAAGTTATAAGCAGCTTATTACTGCCTAGTTCTTATTTATTAAACTATTCTCTTTTTATATTTAAGTAGTAGTAACTCTAGGTAAGCCCCTTATTACTACTATTAATAACTATTAGTATCTTCTCTACTGCCTTGCCTCTAGAGCAGCTGCTATGCAGCATTATAAGTAGAGGCAATTAAGTGCAAGAAAGAAGGTCCTTATATTAGTTTGTATTTTAGAGGCAGTCTTAAGCTAGCGCAGTAGTGCTGTAGACTAAAGGCTGAAAAGTTTTTTAATATAAATATTAGTAAAGTATATAGTAATTAAAGTGCTATCTCTATTAATAGTAAAATTAAATATTCTATATAGTATATACTTAGTATTCTATATAGACTTAATTAAGTAAGCAGTATTTAACCTACTGCTTAGCTAAGTGCTTTAGGACTTCTGCCTGCTGCTAGTACCAATTAAGGCAGATAAAACTCTTTAAGATAAAGAAACTTATAAATGGCTGCTAATAAATAGCAATACCTAGCTAAAAAGTTCTAAGTAGGGGATTTAGTGTAGTTAAACCTCTATAATATTAAAATAAATTGCTTTAGTAGAAAACTTAATTAAGTTATAGTAAAGTATATAGTAATTAAGGTGCTATCTTTATTAATAGTAAAATTAAACGTTTTATATTATATAACTAATATAGAAACTACTTAAGAGTTTTTAAAATACTATAGTGCTTAACTAATTTAAAACTAAGTAGAGAGATATATAAATATATAATAAGCTTAATTTATAAGTAATTAATTTCTAAGTAATAGCATAATATATAGAGCTAACTAATTAAAAAAAAAATAAATAAATAAAATAAAATAAACTATAGTTATACTAATATAAAGACTAGCTAGCAAAAAAAAAATTATAATTAAAAAAAAAAGAAAGAAAAGAGAGAGATAATATACTTATAGAGCTTAATATATACTTAACTTATACTTAACCCACACTTAATATAGCGCCTACTAAAACAGGCGCTCTAGCCTCTTAGGCAACTTTAAGCGTAACTTATTGCTAGTTAAATTAATAACCTAATTATTAGAAGGGGGAGAAGGCAGAGAGGAAATAGTATTCTAAATACTATTACCTTTATAATTACCCTCTTCTCTACCATAAGGATAAGTTAAAGTCTTAGAAGTATAAAAGCAAATATATTAGCTATAGAGAGTTGCCTCTTTATAAAGTATATTAACTAGAGTATAAGTTAGTTTCTGCTAGTTAGTGCATTTATAGTGTAACTCTACCTACTCTACTTACTACTTATATAGTATTTGCTTAATATTCTAAGCTATAGTAGCTTAGCTCTAAAAAAAATTTACTAGCATCTGCTAGTTAGAGAGTAGTATATACCTGCAGCAGAAGAGCATTAATATGCTAGTAAGCACTAGCGCCTGTAAATTAGCATTAGCGCTTATATTACTAGAGAATAAATTAGCTAGTATATATAAAGAGCAGATAGAACTAGAGGCAATATAGGCTTGCTTTAATAATATATTAAACTTTTTAGTTATAGAATTAAACTATATAGAAAATTTAGTATATATACTAAAGCTCTTGCTAGACTTTTTGCATATAGTAAATATAATATACCTACTAGTATTTGTAATTTGCTGTACTTTCTTCTGTTAGTAGTATAGCTTAAAGTTTACAGCATAGAGGTACGCCTTCTAGATACACTTTTTATAGGTTTTGCAGCACTACTTATAGGCTGTAGTAGAGCTAGAGATGAGATGCAACTAGTAGAGCTAGTATTAATAAGCTTGTGCTAATATAGCGTATATATTCCTAGAACTTCCTCTCTATTAAAGAGGTTGTTATTATTAGAGTTGCCTTCTATAGCGTACTTGCCTATATAGCAAGCGTTATAGTATAGCAGCAGGGGCAGCAGGAGCAGGGGAGGGAGCGTGCTAGCAGCAGACTCCCTAAAACTAAATTAAGTGCGTAGAATATACTATATTATACTTAGAATAATAGAGGTAATATAGAAGCAATATAGAGAAAGAAGGCAGGCATAGTAGTAGTAATCTTTAGAAATAAAAATTTTTAGTAGCATAAAAAGAGTATTAGTAATACTTATTAGAAGGAAAATAATAAGAATAAGCAGTATAAAGTTGCTTAACTATTTATAAAGCAGAAGCACGCTAAGTATATACTATACGCAAAAAATATAAAGTAGAGATATATAGTTACTAGGGGGATTTATACTATAT